AGTGGCACTGCCCCCTAGTGGGTCAATTTGTTACTACATACTCTGTCTAGAAGCCTGATATTTACGGACAAGCTTTAGCAGATCGTCCCCCAGCCACTCTCGTTGAAAAACATAAAAGACCTCTATAGACGTCTTTGGCAGCCAATGAGTTAATGAAGAGCCAGTTTGGTAAAGTACTAGGACATGAACTTGAGTCATTTTTCCCCATTTACTGTGTTTTATGCTAACAAATTCTATTAGCACTCAATGTAAGGAAACCTGCCCATGGGGGTTTGAAGGCACTTTAGAAAACCCTGAAAGTATCATCTTGAAAACCCTTCCAGGCATCACTGGAGGCTGGATGGTTTCTGCCTGCAAGATTTAGAATAGAGAAGGTGGATTAAGACTCTATTCCTGGAGCCACAGCTGTTCCTCGTCTTCATTTTGGAGGGGGAAAAAAGACAGCTGGGACCGTCTTGAAGGATAACACATTCGAAAACCACTTCAGGCACCTTTAAGCACATAACAGGGCCAATAATAAATGGTAAAGCAAAGGAAAGTGATAGATGAGATGGGTCTGTAGGATTTAGAGCGATGGATTTCCAGAGATGGAGTAAAGTCAGCGAGATTAGATTGTGAGCTCTGGATTTTTGTCTTCAGTGGAGGTTTTTTTTTTAAAGGGTTTGCTGGTCTCCAAAGGGAGGATGGAGGGATTTACAGTAACCCAACACCACAGAGTGTCCCTCAGACTGCTAAGACATTAGAACATGTCACGAAAATAACTCGTCACTAGGCTGACCTCAGAAGCACACAATGTCCGTTGGCTTCATTCTGAGAAAACAAAGACAGAAGTGCACAAGCAGCACTTCAATGCCAAAAGGTTTCCTACAGTTCAGGATCCTAAATGTACACTCATAAAAAATTACAATAAGAAATCCAAACTAAATCACTTATAATATTGAAGAATAATCTCATTTTAAAAAGTTAGAATAAGGGTTCTAGTTGTCTTTGACAACTACAAACTTAAATGCAAAAGGGTTTCATACAGTTCAGGATCCTAAAGGTACACTCATAAAAAATCCCAATAATAAATCCAAACGAAATCACTTATAATAATGAAGAATAATCTCATTTTAAAAGGTTAGAATTAGGGTTTTAGTTGTCTTTGAAAACTTCAAACTTCAATGCAAAAAATTTTCCTACAGTTAAGGATCCTAAATTTACACTCATAAAAAATTACAATAAGAAATCCAAACTAATTCACTTATGACATTGAAGAATAATCTAATTTTAAAAAGTTAGAATTAGGGTTCTAGTTGTCTTTGACAACTACAAACTTCAATGCAAAAAGGTTTCCTACAGTTCAGGATTCTAAATGTACACTCATCAAATTAACAATAAGAAATCCAAACTAATTCACTTATGATATTGAAGAATAATCTCATTAAAAAAATTAGAATAAGGGTTGTACAAACTTCAATGCAATGAGTGTCTCCTGCAGTTCAGAATCCTAAATTTACACTCCTTAAATCCCAATAAGAAATCCAAACTAAATCACGTATAATTAAAGAATAATCTCATTTTAAAAAGTTAGAATAAGGGTTCTAGTGGTCTTTGACATTTAAATTGCTTATGAGATGGAAGCAGATTGATTGAAATTCTGAACAATGACACGGAATGAGTCTTTCTTATTAGTTTTTTGGGTTTAAGTAACTTGATAACATAAACATTATCTGTTAAAAACAGATTAAATATTAGAATCCTTCTGAAAAATCTGGTTAAGTGTGTAAAACAGGTGTAAAACGGTATTGTAAATAGAGGATTGAGGGTCCCAAACCAAGGCGCCGACAGGAGGATAAACACGGGTGGATTCTGTTTTACGTCCACTCCTCGTAGTGGTGTTGCCTTTCAACATTTCCCATCATCAGACTGTACATCACCAGTTTACCAATAAGCATTCAGAGGATACCTCGAGACGGAAAACCACTCCCTTGAAGTCTAGAATCTGTTGTGATCGTAAAAAACGCATAAAAAAAGACCAAACTCAACCTCCATCTTCTTGAAGCTCTACCACACAAAAAGCATTAGAAGATACGTTTTTACTTGTTCGGTTTTATCATCAAATTTGAAATCATCATCGGTCGCTTCCTACGAGTGCCAGAAGACATCCAACCTCCGTAAACCTTTGGTATTTTAGTGTCACCATGCACCATCGAACTAACTGACAATGAGATAAATCACTTTCCAGTAGTCTCCACCTTTATTCTACTTATCCATCAAAGATCTGCGAAAACCAAAGCTTCATCCATCCACGGCTGAACCAGAAAATGTTGATTCAAACAGCTACTTTCTGATAGTATAACTCATTTCCATCAGTAGATAACAATGTGAAATGTCCAAATTGATATCAAAATGGCAAAATAAAGAGTCTTACTTTGACCAGGTTGAGTTGTCGGAGTCCCAGAAATACAGAAACACAGAGTCCGAAGCAGACAAAGTGTTAGGAAGGTATATATTGCGATCGCAGATAGCCCTCTAAAGCCTCGGCGTTCTCTTTATGGAAATGGATTACCAAACAAACCAATCGGCTGGCAAGGTCAGGAAATACAGTACAGTGTCATCTGCCCCCTCGCCTTCTTATAAATAACCCGCCCTTTAAGATTGTTATCCGTATTATTATCTCACGTCGTCATGTTTCTCTCAAACAAACTGAAGAAAAGATCTGCTCCACTAAGTAGTCAATCCACGTCTTACATGTGTATTGTTGATATTAAATACTGGAAGCAAATCTAGACTTTTGAGAGAAAAGAAAAGCTTTTGTTTGTATCATTGTTCATTCTGGACTTTTTGCTTTTGATTATAACAGAGGAAAACTGAACTTATTGTTACTGGTCCCAGTGTCTGGAACAATGATAATAATTATAATAACAATAACTCTTTCCATTTTCCATTTCCAGTTAAATCTCCAGAGTCAGAACTAAACCAGGTTCTGGTCCCAGAGTCAGAACTAAACCAGGTTCTGGTCTCCTTATGGGGTCCAGAGTCAGAACTAAACCAGGTTCTGGTCTCCTGATGGGGCCCAGAGTCAGAACTAAACCAGGTTCTGGTCTCCTGCTGGGG